ATCCAAGTAGGAAAAAAACCATTTTCGAACTCTGGAAGAGCTTCCCGCAACTTAGTGAACAGTGTACCCTCTAGAGGAGACTACTGTCATCACTACTGAAGCAGCTTATCCATGCTAGATTTCCCGTATCAGCTCTGGTGTTAGACCCCAAGGGAAAAATAAACTATCAAACCTGGCCCATATTTGTATGGTTGCATCTGGAGTCGTTGGTTAGTCACACAGGTTGGACCTATTTTAAAAGAATGATTCAAATGCCGATCGGCTTCCGTGGTCCGTTAAATCCTGGCTGTTTTCGCAAGAACCTACCCAGCACAGCGAATTATCGCCTTTGCACGCTAAATTTCGTTTAGGCGGTAGACAAACTGCAGTTTATGATTATCTCCCTCAACTGTATGTGCTGCGCACAACCGCCTTGTTTTGACTAGCACGATACGCGAGATATCGGAATACACTGTCGTAAACACATGAACTGCCCACCCTGAGGAGTCCCAAGAAACGCAAAACACTCGTGGGTCATCGAATGGTTCAAGGATAAATTATATGGGATGGCTCACTTGTGGGCAAATCAGTACGGCCCTAAAATATGTGCCGTTACTGGATACGAACTAATCAGTTTTATGAAATAACTATTTTGACTCATTCATTCTATTAGTGGTTCTCTTTATGTACCCTGAGACATGTGGTGGACAGTGAACATTCTGTTAATTTTCAACCTATTTCCCTGGATTCAGGGAATTCCCTGGAGGTTGTAAGCACTTTGACACCGTGTGAATGAAGGCTGTCATTCAGAAGTCTCTGGGTCTCGTTGGCTGGTATTCAGAAATGCTGTAGGACTAATAAGAAAAACCTAACGGCATTTCAAGTAACCTTGAAGAACCTGTACGAAGATGCTCGAAGTGTGACTAGCGAACATGGAAATCTATTGACTGTGTATTTTGGCTTTGTTCGATATCATATAGAGGTTTGTTGGCCGCTTCAAAGGTCACAGTCACTTTGAATAGACATTTATGTACCGCGTTCACTACTGTTGTCTGACAAAAACCGGCCATTATCAGTAATCAGGTTGCCCCTTGGCAGAGGTCAGGTGGTGGTCGATTGCTAACCAGGTCACTTGCACCGGCTCCTAAGAAGACAAATGCGGCTGGTAATGATTCCTTCTGGTGACAGGACTGATCACAAACCTTTGTCTGCCTTACTGTAGTCACTGGCAATACATTTGATCGTCTCCATCAGTATGGCATCAGGTTAACAAAAGAAATCCAAACCCGCTTACCTGATGAGACCCAAGAAGGGCGAAACCGGTCGTGGGCTGTCAAGGAATTTTCGGCAAACTTATGAGTAGTGCGAATATACACGTATAGCGACATCTCAAATATAGTAGCAACTGGTGCCAACCTATTCATTTTTTACCACAAAATCCTGGCTATGTGATAGCATTGGTTGTCTACCCAGGAACAAACAAGTTGCTAATTTACACACATATTGGTTGTGTTATTTTCTTGTCCTCAGGCAAACAATCTACTGCTGATGCTAACCTAGAATTAAATCCGAAAAGTGCATTTCGGTGTGTGGATTCGAACGAAAGAGAACGAAATTTTATCGTGCGGTGGGAAGTATGTGTCAATCAAAACGGACTTGATCTTTTTAAATTTCGGGAGATATTCACCAAACGGTTCATGAAGACCAATTTGTGTTTGCTCAGTAAATCGGGTCTAGAGAACGGACAGAACAGAGTGTTTCGGCTAGAAATAAGTGTCTTAGAACAAATGCGTCGTGAAGGAATCCGATTGTCTCTTACGTTGCATGTGTGTTCATGTATCCAACTATGCTGAAACTAAACCAATGAAACACAAGGTTCCCTCTGGAGAACAATCCAATAACTAGTTTGACAAAAGTTTAGTGGATTTCAAAAGACGAAAACACTGAAAAGAAAACAGCGGTATTTTCGAAACGGTTATCAGCAGCACTGCGACATTGTGTGTGTTGTCCTGGAAATAGTGATATCTACTTGGGGACTTTTATAAAAGTGCATTTTATCCGTTGTAAAAGATATCTTGTTCTGGAAATGATTTGTTTTGGAATGATTACTGCATTTGAAATGATGAATCCAATGAAGACTGAATTGCCGATGTGGTTTTCTGATATCCTGTGACAAAACAATTCTGTGATGTGTCTATTTTCATTCGAATCCGGCTGACAGCCAGGCCTAGCCACATACTGCTCAAAATACCTCCGCATGCCCAAAGGAATGTTGTAATCACTCTGCTCAATCAGTCGCATTAACTTAGCCCGCGTCCAATGCTTATCTATTCAGTTGCAGTATGCTTGTCAGTTGCATCTCCGATTACATGCCACAATTCGCGCAGACTATTCAGCACCACCATGCATAGTCCCTCGGGAACACTAGAATGCCGCTGTTCCAGCGCTAATTTGTTTGCTTGTTGAGTGTCGTATTTAAGGGCTTGCAATTTCAAACTACGGGCTTCAGTCTCATGCCAAATGAATTTTCCCTATGTGATACATGTGTTAGCTTTGTGCAGCATCTTAAGCCGAATAATATAATGAGCTAGGTTCTTAAGTAACTCTCCCCTATGCTATCGTATTAGGGTGACTCGGAGTGCTAAACTGCTTGCTAGGTATGAGTGTACACTGAAACTATCAGTTTGGTAGTTTCGCCATTCGAAATCGTTGCCAACATTGCACGACTGATTCTTGGCGAGTTGCGTTGACTAGTGTTGACCTTATCTAGGCGTACTTTTGGGAAATAGCCTAGTAATACACCTTTAAGTTGCAGATATTTGTACAATTTCCACGATGTGTGATCATACCAACTAACCTAGGGGTGTGCATTCGAGTCGTGGCAACGTGTAGACCTGGCGGTCCCGAACCGAACACATACGACCACTCACGGGTTTTAACAAAAGTGGTTGCGATATCTACCAGTGCGGTGCATTGTTTTGAAATGCCCCGTACCCAGTATTTACTTTCCGCCACAGCAAGTCCGTGTACCGCGAATGAATACGTACAAGGGCGAAACTGGATTTTAGTGCATCCACAACTCACGTAGGCAATAGCTAGAGCATCCCACTGATTCGCTGTATTCAGAATAACCACCAGCTACTTACTGCCTATTCACTGGCAACTAGTGACTACTTGTAAAACAGTATATTTTCATGCGCAACACAGCATCATAGTACGTTTCAATTTATGTAGACCGGCAATTACACCGTTTGGGAGGAACGAAAATGCACATTTCTAAAGACATCTCAGTTTCTGAAGCGACCAGTTTTGTAGTCGTCACATTTGTGCAAGAGTTCGGTGGTTCTCATGTCTCTTATTGTTTCGTCTTTGTAGAAAACATAATTCCTTGACAGTCGGGGCCTGCAAGCGACTTATATTTTTCTATTCCAAAGGTGGTTCATTAGAGCTTTATTTTACCAGTTCACTTTGAGGCCTTTGATGGTTTACAGCATCTAATGGGTATGTGAACCACCGATCAGGACGCACTTCAAAATCGGAATCTAAAGTGTGAGGCCCCGGAATCTCCCCTAGCGGTTACCGCTTACTGGTAGTTTTCTGAGGATAGTGAAAAATTTGAAGCACCCATTTACTTCCAGAACAGGAACACAGCTGTTCAAACGGGAGTGGTGTGGCTATGAACAAAATACCTATCCCGCAAACCCCAAAATTACTTTCAAATACTTCGATGAATATGATAGGGCAGGACGCGTTTTATTCGGTTGCACTCACCTCTGGCCTAATGATTGACCACCAAAACATCCACTTTTCTTCGGAGAATGAGGTTAAACTTGAAGTTTCTGAAATCCTTTACATAAACGTGATATTCAGCTCCGTTTTCTCGCAAATGAATATAAGTCGTTACCGAGAATTTGCTCCATCGTTCGTCAGTGGCTTCATATATTTTCCCTGTTCACTAGAACGAATAAAAGCATGCGTCCATCTTGATTGAGGTCTTTTCAAACTTATTTGAATTTCAGATGAATCTCCCGTTTACGAGGAATATGTTTCATAAAGCTCGTATTTATATTGTTTACACCCTACTTCCAAAAATAAGCTGGATTAAGATCGGCGTTGCTACTATTTGTAGATTGATGAACGCTTTTCTTTACTTATATTTCATTATCATACGAGAGCCTGTCAGCTGCGGGCGGATTGCCATTAACTTGGCCTCTAATAATAGCTGCTGATTGTAAGCTCCCTTGTTTTGAAATACATCGAACACAGTTTCCTAGTAAGTGGAAATCACAGACTTATATCAGCTCACCTTGTTCGAAACCAGCTGCCCTTAATTTGGTTTAAGTTTTGTGCACATAGACGGAGATGTGTAGACAAAAACCCGAGTTTTACAACAATAATAACTGTTTTGTGGCCTTCTCTGCCTAGTGGTTCATGGACTGGATTCACCCGTGTCTTGTGAGACCCACGTGGATTGTGCTTCATGGCCGAACCACAAAAACGATCAGCCTAACTTAGTGGTGTAGGGATGATGTATACATGGGTTGTATCATGTGATTGACGAACTGTCCTAGAATATGCGTTCACGCAAACCGGAAAATAAGTTATGCATAGTATCACAGTTTGTGCGTAGAAAACAACCGGATCCTCAGAAAACACTCATTTTTGGAAACTGACAAGTCACGGTTTATCACTTTTAAATGTCTACAAGGCTGTAATCAGAGGAATCATCATTGAAACATTCAACTACGACCCTTGAACGAATGTCTTGTTGCAAATTTTGGGTTCCTCATTGGCTGGTTTAATCACATTGTGAAACTGTTTGCATTTTTTTCAATCCTTGCATCAACTCATTCAACAACACAGCATTCTTCTGATGCGCAATCACAGCTGACAATAACGTCAAATTCTGATTGGTCCGTCAGAATACACGACTGGAGTAAAGTTCTATTGGTTGATCCCGGTTTAAGTGGCACTTGCCATACAGCGCTTGCTAAGATCATAATGTGATTCCCAGAAAAGCCATGCAAACCAGTGAACAATATCCTCGTTCCCTCCGTAAAGAAGCGATACTGTCAGTTGATACTAATGAAACGGATGACTTCATTTCTGTGCCTTCTATACAATATCCTCAGAGGCCCCTTCAGACAAGCGGGGATGCATGTTCAGACACGGATAACACACAAATTACTCAGGACAATGTATCCGCTCAGGGATCACGCATTCTACTTTGTCTAAAGCGTCAAATAAGACGACTTTTCAGAACTAATTCCGGAAGCAGTGGACTACAAAAAAGCCTACAAGATTTGACACTAACAAACGCAACGACTGTGGAACGAAAAGCATCCCCGACCGAGGAAAATTCTAGCAGTCAGCTTGACCAAAAAGACATTCCCATAACTTGCGGTGTTCAAGAGGACATTGAATGCTTCAAAAATAATTACAACGCAGCTCTTCTTCGTCTAGATTCTTTAACCGACGCACAAATTAATGGTGTTCAAAGCAGTTGGAAACTTTTGAAAATCCATATTGAAAAGATCGGGGTGATTGTTTTCCTCGGGTGAGTTTCGCGTTTCTCTAAAGTTCTTAGGATATAATCATGTATAACAACCATTTGAAAAATTCAGCACACATATTATCTCAACATATTTTCTTCTGGGAAATACAGATTAAGGGATCGAAAGTTAAACGTTAGTGCTTCATGCAAGCTGAACACGGAAGGTTTATTCTCTCGGTTAAAGTGTGAAAATTGCTTGCCTCACCGGCAATTAGCCTGAGTGGACAGTGAACAGACAGCAGATCATGGAGTACTCAGTGTATGTATGGACGCATTCTTTGGCACAGCTTGTGTTGCGTAACTGAATCTTGAGTGCCCCAGCTTTTGTCGGACATCAATATTAGGGAGTGGAAGTAGAGAAGGTTGATGGATAGGAAGATGAGTGATGCTAGAATATTTGAATAATCACAAAACTCGTATCATTCAAGCGAGGCTTCTTTGAATTACTGGCGGGACTACGTGATCTGGATGTATATCAAGACAAGTTATTCTCCTGTATTCTCTTGAAAGACATTCGTTTCATGCGCTGTATGGATTTTGTCATACAACAGTAAGTGACGAAGCCAACAAGTGTGCTCCAAGCCTGGACCGGCAGCAGATGACATTATCTGGCTGCTAAAAATCTCACTAGTTTTTAAAAACAACCCAACCGTATAGCCTCGGCTACATTTGTTTCAAACGGACAGGGGTACGTGTTTATCATTACCTATTTGTTTCAATACTGGATTACGGTGTTTAATGTGGAGCCCTTGGAAGGCTCCATTCTACAATGCTGCTTCGGCCTTTCATAGTGAAAAAGACCAAAATGCGTGCGTATCTGAAGAAGTTTCCCTCGTATCAGCAACTCTGGTGACAAGCAATAGATTTCGTCACTAATAGCCAGTCGGTTTCTACTTTGACTGTGGAGAATGGTAAAATAAGTAGGATTTCCACAACTCTGGTACAAGCAATAGATTTCGTCACTAATAGCCAGTCGGTTTCTACTTTGACTGTGGAGAATGGTAAAATAAGTAGGATTTCCACGGGGGTTTACCCAACATAAGCACGCGATACATGATATGAGAGGCCTAAACTATGTCTACTACTCAACTTGTTCCAACTGGATGAAACCGGGATTTCCACGAAGCAGTGAACCGTAACCCGATGGACAGACGCCTTATTGTAAGATCGACATTCTCTAGTCGGTAGAAAGCATGTAAAGGGGTACGTGAACGGCCAATGGTCGCCTGATACGTTGGATTTATACAGCAACCTAATGCGCAGTTCCCATGAGTCCCATCAAGGATGAATAAGCGTCACGAAACCTCAATTAAGGTGCACTCGTTAAGACTGCATGAAAAGGTTTTATCTCTCAGTTTATGTGCTATCTAACTGGGTAGATGGAATATAAGTTTGAAATTCATAATTCAGCATTGTTTGGCCTTGTAGGCGCAGCGGTCTCAGGTGCCACGAGATCTGGATCTTGCCGTTATGCAATATGTGTGTTTGTATGACATCAAACATAGGGTTCAAGCCCCGCGAACAAACTCAACAGTGCCAATGACACTCGACCACAGTATAAAATGGGCACATCGAAATTTAGCAAGTAGTTTTATCGTTATGACGCTTACTCAGTGAGTGTGTACGCATATTTCCCGACGTCATACTCCAAAAATAGATACGCTTTCTGGCTTATTTGCATATCATCCTCGCAGTTTCCCACAGAGTAAGTAAGCTTGCACCTAAGACTGCGAGACAAAGTTTACTTTTACTCCTTCAGAGCTGCGTCAAAATTTACAACGTAGTTTGAAATAAAACCTGCATGGAGTGACATCTGCTGGGTTGAAAAAGGACAGTTCTCGTCCAAAGAAGCAAAAATACATCATATCAAGTTCGTAGCTTAGCCTTTACTACTGTAAAATTCATATATTTTCCCTATTACCAAGCAACCCTCTCCTAACCGTACGTGAGTCATGACCGTCCACCCTGCAGATCACCCGTACACGTATCATGACCATTTTGCATTTGAACTTCCTCTTCAGAGCATGATTGGTTAGATCAAAACTGGAACAACGGTGCGTGTTCTTGAATCAGTAGTCCTCGTGGATCACCATAACAAACGACCCAGTGGCTTCCACCTTTTTTTCATCGCAAATGTTGGATTGTGGTTGCACGTCACGTTCACGAACGTTTTATCAATCGGGAAGTGATCCATTGCCCTTGACGTACCAAGCATACACATGCATAAAGAAATTGTGATTTCTAATGCTCTAGGCCATTGTTGGGGTAATTGTGCGGTGATTTCGATACGAAACTAAAGAAGTATTGTCAGTATGCCAATCTGACGATGGAGGTTATCCTTACAGGTCTGGTATGATGCAAGAAAGCTATGTGGCATGGCTAGACAAACAGCAAAACAAGACGCCACTGTCATTCGGCTCCGCTGTCTAAAATAAAATATCCTGGACCGTCGCCATAACAACCTTTCACTGAAATGGGTGCAGCGGGAGATGCGAAATATTTTTTTTTACACAAGGACCTCTCTAGTTGCATGAAGGCAAAGGAAATTTTGAGCAAGCTCTGCCTTAGGATTATCCAGACGTGTATGCCACAGAGACCAACGGCTGACAAACGGAAGTGAGTCCGCATCATTTCAAGAAGCCAGAAAGATCTACACTACTTTGCAAATCAGTTTGGTTTTCTCAAGAGACTCAACTGAATCTCTCGTTTATGATATTCTACAACTGAACGTGGTGCACACAGGCCGCCTCATGATTTGGTTGGCGAGCTATTTGAGATATCGCAGTATATGTTCATAAGGGTGACTACTCACAAGGTTGCTAAAAACTATTCGACAGCCCACCACCGGTTTCGCCCTTCTTGGGGCTCATCAGGTAGGCGCAGCTTCCGAGTTTCCATCAAACTTATGTTCTACTTGAACCCAAATTGGACTGTTCTTTAGTAGTTTCTTTTATGAAAATATACTGCTATATCTCGAATATCTCGCCAACCGAATTATGAGGCGGCCTGTGTGCACCACATTCATTTTTGGAATATCATAAACGAGAGATTCAGTTGAGTTTCTCACGAAAACCAAATTGATTTGCAACTTAGTGTATTTCTTGAGAACAGTCCAATTCTGGTTCAATTAGAACATAAGGTTGGCGGAAAGTCGTGGACTGCACGTACCTGATGAGTCCCAAGAACAGCGAAACCAGTCGTGGGCTGTCGAGGAGTTTCCAGTAACCTTGTGAGTAATTTCCTTTATGAAAAAGCAACCAAGATAACTTTTAACGACGAAACGCGGTGAAATACGTTTGTGGTCAAAGTAGTTATTTTCTGAGAATCTCCTTGTATACGATCGAAGGTTTCTTGGATGGATAAATTAACTGAAAGGGTTGATGAGATGCGCCAACTTTGGTCATTGACGGTCATTCCCCCTATCGTTGGAAAGTTAGAATTTGACGTCTCAGTAACGGCACTTGGTAAATGCATCAAGGTTAGACAAGATATTTTGTTCTGTCGTTACTATCAATAGCAGAAACGAGAGCGAGAACATCCGATTCTGGGTGATCTAGCGGCTTAAATTGGTAAAACGGAAGAGGAATGGAAAGTTAGTAATCCGCTTTCCACATTTTACAGTTTTTTTAGATTTTGACGTTTCATACGTTTCTGAAGCAGAAAGGAAGGAGGGTTAAACCTTTTTAACTCCACTTTTTTAGCCTATGAAACCGGTACATCAGATCTCACTAACGCGATCACATAATCGAACTCTGTTTTATCAGCTCAGCAATATCAAATTTCCATGATCACGTGTGCTAACATCGGCATGCGTATCAGAATTTAGGATGGTGAGAAACCACGGAAATATTTTGATCGTTGTGGACAAATCCTATTGAACAATAAAATAGGCCAAATTAGGAGAACTGCTGCAATTTATTAGCGCATAACTAGCCTAATTATTTCAACACAAGTGCACTGATTAGCGAAAAATACATCCATTGTCAAGAAAAGCGAAACCTGTCAAGGAGCATCGTAGGGTATTCAGCAACATTGGGGTCGTCAGTAAGACAAGATAGGGTACCAAATGACTCTTATTTAATTGGTTTAGGAAATCGCTGAATAAGGATGTTCACGGCGAGGGGAAAGTCCGCTTATAACACTTTGTTCTAGTACGTATTTTGACTTTAAAGTTTCCATAATAAGTTTGTATAAAATTACATTAGTAGAACTAAGTGGTTACGTCAAAATGTCATGATATTCTTATCATTAGAAAGACAATAGCGCAGGTGCGTGCTTCACGTATGTCATTTTTTAATTAGATAGCTCTTTGTTGCTGCCTTTACAGTGAGTAGAAGCTTGTTAGAGTCTTGCTTGTTCGGTTATTCTCCAACAGTGACTCCCAAACTCAGTCACACTGATAGGTAATTTATCATTTTCACAATTTTCTGAGAGCGTAAACTAATCCATAGCTGTTTTAATTAACAAAACCACTTGCAAAGTATCCGGACTCCTTAGGAAAAACGAATGGCATATTGCTTTCCCTGAATACGTTTCTTAACGTTCCAAAGTTGCCACACCTTTGCATGATTTTAGCCAGGATATCCAAGCAAAGGGTATTTTGTACAGAAACAGTCGTGCAAATGATTAGAATCTCGGTGAAAAATGACTTCTAGGAGTGGCAACTGAAAATATGGCCGCAAGTTTGAATATGCTAGGTTTCCCACTTCCCAGTTTTGCGCTGTTCGCAGTGCCAATTATTTTCGATTTGCTATGGATCTCTTCTGACGCGTCCAGTCTATGGCCACTTAAAGTGAAATATCTCCACGACAAGGACAACAGTTTCCAAAATCCCAAATCACTGGCCCATACTGGTACGGAAGCATTAGGGAAATTGGTCCAGCATTACTCAGGACATCCTGTCAAGGCCATGTTACCTTGTGTTAAATTTCACCGGTACGACCATTTTACTTACAAGAGTTTGCCTCTTTTTTGCTGGAGACACAAAGTTTCCCCACACAGAGACAACGGATTTTGTGTATGTGTGATAGCCTACTCACCCAAATCTAGTTTACAATCTCAAATAGTAGTCTGTTAAATGTTTTTGGCTATATACGCTAGTTAGGTTTTTTAAGGAAACCATTTACACTTTCTACATAATCCTGAATTGGGAGAACCCCCTAACGGATTTCGCAAGGCACATTTTACAATCAATTGAAAAGTCAATTTAATCTACCCAGCATGTTAGAAAGTAGAATTAGATTTGTCAGATAAATCGTGATATGCGGAACCTTCCGAGGCTTCACTTGACTTCAAGTGTTTCGAGTGTTACAAACGGTCCATAAAACATGCTTTCTTATTCACACGAGAGAGGAAACAGCAAAGGCTTTACAAGAACGATGCAAACTGTGCGGCGATGCGGAAAGCCGTCGGTTTACGCGGACTTGTACCGCCTTGAGCCGTGGCGTCTATCGAAATTGTAAACAGAATTACACGAAGAGGAACACGCATTTCTACGAGCTTTTTCGAGACTTTGTTCAATCCGGCTATGGTGGATCAAGGTACATACAAAGTCTAGTCTGAATAGAATAAAGTTTACTTGACAAGAAAAAGCTTTAATGCGCGCAAGTATCGATCACTAGTCTAGGCTATTTTGTTTGTATGTTATCTGCATGATGTGACAACGTGACTCGTTCAGCTTAAAGGTTTGTGGTCATTTGAGTATGCGAACTGTGTGGTAGCCACCAGACTGGATAGAAAAAAAATGAAACGAGTGAATTCCTACCGCCGATTCGAAGGCAATGTATATAAACTGAACAATTGTTACCATGTCTCGAATCCGAAAAAATGCTCAGCCTCCAGTCAGAAAACAAGACCACGTCCTTATAACCTAATTAGATAAACTAGTCATGTCGACGAAATTCAGTTGATCTGGTTTGTTGTAGTGGTATTCCCGGTTCCTGGATGTACAACATGAGGATCATTTGAAAGCCATTCAACGGATTTGTGCTTGCCAACATTAAGTCTTTAATAACAAAATGTCACCATCTGATTGCTCATTTTGGAGTGTTCAGTAGTGCAGCATATATTGCCCACTCAGAGTATTAAATCGACTTTATAACCAGCCAATCTGGAAGAGGGGGAATATAATGCGCCACTCGCCAGTCCACTGCTGTAAGAGTCGATCAAAACAAAATCACGTCTAGCGAGAGAGACTCACCTGGAACCCAGCTGAATCCTTCGGTTTTGATGATTCCAAGCAACTGAATGTGCTGCACCAGACCGCCTCATGTTTCAGTCGCTACGATTTTTGAGATATCGCGATACATATATATTTTGTAATGCACTACTCATAAGGTTGCTGAAAACTCCACGACCGGTTTTGCCTTTATTGGGGCTCATCAGGTAGGCGCAACTCCCGAGATTTCGTCAACCTTATGATCTGATTGAAACTAAATTGCATGAACTTAGCGAATATACACTCAATTGCAAACTAATTGGTTTTTTTTTTGAGAGACTAACCTGGAACTCAGCTGAATCTCTTGGTTCTGATGTTTCCAGGCAACTGAAAGTGCTGCACCAGGCATGTTCCAGTCGCTACGATATTCGAGATACCTGATGAGCCCCAAGGAGAGCGAAACCGGTCGTGGGCTGTCGAGGAGTATTTGGCAACATTATGAGTGGTGCATTAGAAAAAAAGATCACGTCTTGTTCACATCTTTTTTTCATAGGATGTTTACACGAAAATGCCTTAAATGTGTCTGTGGAGCCCGGACATTGCACAAGTCATTTATTTCGTTTAACTGTATAATTAGGAATCTTTTGTTGGATTACAAAGATGGGATGATTGTGCCATCAAATCGGGGGCCGGAAACCGTACTGAACCTTGTGCTGACCGTTCTAAACAGGGTCACGGCTCACCTCCTAATCACGCCACCTAAATGCACCTCATCCACTGCAGCTGGAAGTCAAGTAGATCCAGCATTCACAAAAATCAGTTACGTGTCCTATCGGGAATGTACTTGATAATAAAGAATTCTCTATTCGGTTTTTCGACCTGCTGTCAAACAGGTGAACTCAAAAGCGGAAGGCATTGAAAGTTCAGCAGATAAGCCGAAAGCCATTCGGTATCAGAGTGGGCTTTCAGCATAGATGAGGTAATTAGTGAACATATCCTTCATATTTGATAATGAAAAAATGGATGTCTTAGATTTTTTTGTATGGTTCTTATGAACTCAAGATGGCTTAGAGATTAAGACGCAAATTTACTGGTCAGAAGTTTCCTGGTTCGAATACAACCCCGGCATCTCAATTATTCCTTTCTATCATTGGACACTTCGCTGCTAATCACCCCTTTTTCTTTCTTCGGGTGGCGTGGTAGATATCCAACGAATGAATATTATGTCTGGTCCGGTATTTTATTTTATTTTGTTTATTTTTAGGGCCTTCACCTTGATTACCACAAATAAATTACTGTAAAGAAGCAGGATAAAAATCACTTATCAAACTGACAGGCATTTAGAATTTCGCTTGATACAATTCGGCGTTTGTCGTTTTCGGATATCACTGGGGGCCGAATTCGCCAGCAACGACATTTTCAACTTCCTCAGCTACTTCCATCCTGCTTTACTGTGTGTGCTGGTGGTGGAAAGCCTGGGAGCAGCATTTAGTGAACAAATTAATTCCAAAGGAAACTACTCACAATGTTGCTGAAAAATATTCGGCAGCCCACCACCGGTTTTGCCCCTCTTCGGGCTCACCAGGTAGGCGCAGTCTACGAGTTTCCGTCAATCTTGTGTTTTACTTGAACCCAAATTGGACTGTTTCCGAGAAATACACCGATTTGTAAATAAATTTGGTTTTCACGAGAGACTCAGCTGAATCTCTCGTTTATGATATTCTACAACTCGGGGAATACGCCTATCTGATGAGCCCCAAGAAGGGCGAAACCGGTCGTGGGCTATCGAAGAGTTTGCAGCAATCTTGTGAGTGGTTACCTTTTTGAAAATATGCTGCGATATCTTGAATATTGTGCCCACTGAATCATGAGGCGGCTTGTATGCCGCACATTCAGTTGTAGAATATCATAGACGAGAGATTCAGTTGAGTCTCTCATGAAAACCAAATCGATTTGCAAATGAGTGTATTCCTTGAAATTAATCCTAAGTTTATCACTCTGATGATTGGCCATGTGTGGCCAAATAATATTATTTACGGTCCGTAAAGGAAAGTTATACGGCTCTCTGGAAGTTCTCACTTTCAAAGGAGAAAGGAATGGAAATCTCGTTAATTCAGTATTGGTGGACTCTGCAGCTGCCATAACTTCGCAACTATCTGAACTGCTCGCTTCGATCGGACATTTCAAATGCCATAAACAGTCCATAGTATGCATTGATGGATATAAAAGTAAGGTGTCCCTGGGAATTACAAACATGTCACAGCATATTCAGTCACTTTTATTGTGAAAATTCAGTATGAATAGCAATGATGTAAAGGAACATTTACCCAGTGCAATCTCTGGACGCTCGTGGACACCTTCGGGTAAAATTTGCGCGGATACGTCAAAAATCAATCTGCTGATCGCTTCTATAATTTAGTAGGAAAATATTTCATTTCCACCAAGGAAATGGTGCGTAAAAACTTCTCAATCAGAAAAAACTTCGTAGGCGAATTTCCAGGACCTCAGCAAGTGGAGAGTTTTGACTAATAATATGCCTGTCAACCCAGATCGGTACAACACGTGTAGGAATTTGGCAGCGCATTGGGGAAAATGCTGTTTCATTTGTACCGAGAGAGTTATTTCTGTTCTAGGCTCTAATTAACTCCACAGCCAGGTAGTAAAGTACCATAGGTTGTTGCTTTGCCTTTGTCATTTATGTTCATTCCCCATAAAAAGGACGTGCATCAGAAAGGTGGGTGTGTGACTCCAAAAATAGACATGGCATGCACGCGGTCTTCAGCATAAAAATCTGCGGTTAGAGTCGTGATAGTTTACATCACGTGGGGAAGGAACGTGCCTGCTCCACATAACCCCGTTTCCACTGCAAACAGTGTGGTATGCAAATGGCATTCGATTTGGAAACAAACCGTTTTTTGTTACAGAAACTGTAATCCCATTGGGAGCCTAGCATATGTTCCACGAATACCAAGGGCGCATCCCGTGCAGTGCGGTAAAATACCTCCAAAGAGCTGTAAAATTTGTGGTTAGGTACACAAGGCATGTCCATCCAAAACATATTATTCACGCCAAGGATTTTCAAATTGTAGTTAAATTCGACGGTTTTATAGTTGTCGCATTCGGAAATTTTACTTAAAACATTATTTACTACTGTGTTGATTGTGGAGTCATTTTCTTAAACTGTAATAGGATATTATTTCTGGATGACGTAAAAAGAAATTTGTAAAAGTGCACCAGGTTATTGAAATGAATTATGCAGTTTCGGAATAAGAGACAAAGTGTGCTGAGCGTTAATCTTTACTATTTCGACTGTATTGTCACGACGAAAACGGCAGCACTTACTGGATCAGTGGTCAAAAAACGGCTCCTTTAATTTGGCCTGGATGGATAAACAAAACATCGACAAGTGGAGTGCAATGCCTTCTAGCATTATGGGGACGGCCTGTGGGTCCGCAACTATACTTTCGAATGCCAACGACTTTCAGAACAGCAGGCGGTTCACCTGCTTGGACCGGTTTTGTCATGTATTTTGACGTTGGGAATACGTTCCTTCTGCTGCCTGTCCCCAGAATTGTTCCTGAACATCAAGTTCTTTCTAAATTGCATCAGCGACTATGTCCGCGATGTTCCTGGCACATAGTATACAAGCTGGCTAATGAATCACTAGGGTTGTCAGAGTGTCTCGGGAAGGTACCAGATAGCTTTCTTGACAGGAAAAATTGGAAACGTCAGTATCAGTCGAGAAGGCCGGTATTGTGAGTCTAGTGTTACGTAAGGAGCATGGTCTTTGTTGGGGAGTGGGGCCGAATATTTCTGTCACTGTGCGTCCATCCTGTTGGGTTGCAGCTCTCTGGGAAATTACCGGGAACCCTGCATCAAAGCCAACGGTCATTCTGCTCACCCGAGGCCAACTTTCATAGTATAGTATCCCACTAGTGTACCTACAGACATCGTAGTCCTGTCAGCTATTGATAGCGCCAGGAAAGTAGCCAACTCTCCTTTATTCCCACGTGACTGAGATCAAGCTTGGTTGTCAGTTTTGTTCAATCCGTTTACTTCCCCCAGAACAAATTTGCAAAGATACATTTGTCTTAGTTCTTTATTCGCTAATTGTGACTGCAAACACAAATCAAAAATAGACGCTCATCATTTGCGAGTCGTATCATCACAGTGTCTTAGTAAACTATCTCATCAAGAAATGAGCCAAATGTAGCCATCAACCATATCTGTCGTTTGGTAAAACATAAATGAGGGAACAATAAACGCTCATCATTTGTGATTCGCATCATCACAGTATCTTGGTAAACTCTATCTCATCAAGAAATGACCCAAATGTAGCCATCAACCGTATCTGTCGTTTGGTAAAACATAAATGAGGATGGTTCTATTCAACACAACCTCAGTGATATTACTCCAAGATGGTTTGCATGAACATCCTTCTGTGTCTCCAATAAGCTACTGATGGCCCAGGGGATCGGTTATCTGCTTGGGTAACCAACGTTATTGCAAACCTAGATGCTGAGCGAGGTTCCCTTTGGGAACCACCTTATAACATGTTTTGAGGGCCGCGTGGTCTCATACATCACTATCTTCTACAGAAGGAAATACCAGTGAGGAGAATATTGATAGCTAGGTAGCGTAAATGGTCATTGTTTGTTCGTTGCTTAACAACGGACTGATGATATCAAATCGACTGTAGATGAAACGTCTGAACTTAGATTACCCAGCTCGGAGATGGAATTATCATGATTGAGGAATGTTTCCTAGTTTCAACCAAACATTGCTCGAAATCAGAAGTGTTTACTCGTTTTCAAATTATGGGATAGGCGTGTACTTTGTAGGAGGAACACTGGGTTTTCATTGGCTAAGGGTAATCACCGTGACGCAAAGTTAGTTGAAAATTACTTATGAAATAGTTATGCTTGGGTCACATATTCATACAATAGAACGACAGTGTTCACCGTCGCTGTTAGGTCTTTCACCGAGCATCTTTGTCACACGGGGACTCTACCTTTGCTATTCTGAGATTCGTATGCCAAGTTCCATCGAAGTTTGGCCCGATTGTCCAGATTGATTGCTCAGACAACTTGTGCACACATTTTAGCGACAGAGT